TCAGCAGACCTCTCCTGTCTTGCCCGCTGCTCCCCTCAGCAGTGTATTTCAGTCAGTCTGCCTGTTCTGTTCCCCACTCTGTCTCTGGTGAATCCTCTCACCACCCTGTACCTCTGGCCTATACCCTGGCTCTTGTATGCATAAATAAATAAATCTTTTTTTTTTTTAAAGAAAGCCCCACACCTCAAATATTAAACTCAACATGAAGACCTTTCATAGGGAAAGAACAAACAATAGTTTAAACTTTTTTTCTATTTCTAATTATGAGTGATACTGAAATTCTCAGGAAGAAATCCAAACTTCAGACATTTAAAAATACATACTAGGTAAGTTTTGTCATAAATAGGAAGAAAACAGAGTGATCTTGCTAATTAACAATTATGAACAAAGAGATGTAGAGAGAGGAAAAAAGAAATTGTAAGCAGTGCAGGATGTCAAAAGCCAGAGCTTCAGGAAATATTCATGCTGCTATGAAGACAATGCATCTAGATGTTCTAGATGCATCTAGTTCATTCAATAAAAACAGAAGAAGAGCTCAAGAGAAGTGCTAGTGTCTCTGGTGAGAATTCAGGTATGGAAGGTAGAGATAAGTTCAGGATGATTTTTGCCCAACATCCAGGTGAAGGCAAAGGTTTAAAGGGTGGAGACAGTTCCTTCTGGTGCTTTCTTGTCTGCTGTTAACATTGCAAAAATCATGCACTAATATTGCCAGTAAACCACAACCTTCTCCTTGGAGCTGCTGTGCTTCTAGTCTGGCTTTAGGGCAATTAGTTTGGAAGCGTATTAACTGCTTCACCAAAAGACCAGATCTTAATGATTCAGAAACTATCCTCCTCCTCCCACAAAGGGGTAAAAGGGTATCGATGAGTTAAATTAATCCAGAGTATCTATTTATAGTAGCAATACCTTTGTGATTAACTTATATGGAATATTTATGCCAGTCTTTTAAAAGAGCAGGGTGAAAGTGGGAATTTCAGGAGATGTGTGTCCTTCAGACTGTTCAATCCTTGGCTTAAAAATCATTGCAATGTAGCAATGGGACACACTGAATCACAAGTTATGAGATTCAGGAGCAATATTCTAGATGGAAATGAGAAAGATGTGGAGGGTATGTGTGAAGGGGAAGAAGGAGAAATTAATTTAATTCCATTTGCTGATGTGACTGTAGCTCAACTATTTTTAGGTATAATCCAAACAGTGCATATCGTCTCCATTTTGATTAGAAGCAAATTGGCAGAGAGTCAAAAGAATTAGTATTTCTCAGCACATTATGCCAGAAACATACAAATAAAGCTAAATTATCTGTGCCAATGTGTTTAATTTGAATTACGGCTAAGGTTTTAATATGTTTTCCCTCAAAAGGACTAATGGGTCCAGCTTTGTCCAAAAAACAAAGACGTTTTTAAAAGCCTGCTCACAAAAGGCAGCAAAACTTAATAGAATAATTACTTTTTCAGATCCTTGCTTAGAAGCCCTTGCTGAAAACCTAACTGTTAATATTATCCTGATACTTTGGTTACAGAATTTCCGCCTGGCAATTTCATGTATTGCCAGAGGAAGCCAGAACATTCAACAAAATGTGAAATTAAAATAAGTTAGGAAAATGTGCTTAACAAGGAAAGGTTTCACAATAGCCACTTAGAAGTTATTAATAAGTTGAGTTCCAAAGTAAGCCAGGACCAAAATAATAATAATAATAATAATAATAATAATAATAATAAAAAATTTGATTTGCAAAGTTTCATAGAGGTGGGTTTGCCAAGGGCCCAAGCCATGTGTTCCACCAGATATAGATGATGGAATATCTTGTTACATATTTGAGAACTTTACAGCCAGCTACCTAAGGGTAACTTCTATTTTAGAGAATCACATGAAAGTACATTGTTTTAATTTTAGGGTTTACGCCTTTGGTATTTTGTTACACAAATGTATGGGGTGAGGTATGTCTTCTGCATATGCACTCCTTTGCTCTTGCCATTTCTACAAGGCGTTATCTCACCCAATGAAACAGGATTGGCCATTTTCCCCTCCCACTGCCATGGCTACTGGGATTCGCCGTCTAGTATTCCCACGTTTCTATTATAAATAAATTTTTGTCTTCTTCAAAACCACAGTAAGTGCTGTTCACGGGTGGCTGCACCACGGTCTATTTCTGAATCCTGGAATCCTGAGTTAGAGAACTCAAGGGATCACAGAAAAATCTTTTTTCTATTTCCTAAAAATACATAAACTGACTTTCTTCCTATTCACTAAAAAGTTTAGGCCTGTCTACTAACTCATATTCTATTGGTTAGCAAAGGATGTTCATGACTTAAATACCAGAGGTTTGATGGGCCTATATGATAGGCTTGGGAAAAGAATTTTGCTTTTTAATTTGAACATTTGTCTAGACAAAATAACAAAATAAGTAATCGGAAAATTGGGAAGTGAAGAACTAATGGGATACTTCAGGGTTCTTCAGATGAAACTAGACATTAAGTGTATTAATTTTCAAGTATAAAGAAATAAAGAACAAAATGCATTTTCATGGAGAGGGATAGAAATGAACTGTTTTTAGTTCATACAGGAAAGTATAGTGAGATTTCATCCCGACATTGATTTTACATTCACTAAAATAAATTTTAGTATATTTATCTTTTATTTTTAAAGAAATTTTTCCATCTTGTCCTACTCCCCTACCCCCTTTATTTTTGCTGGAGAAAGAGGTTAAAACTTTTTAGTAAAACTTTTTAGTAAAAACTGCTGCTGTTCACTCATCCAGTAAATCTTCTTGTCTCTCAAACATCTATATTCTTAACCTTTCTCAGAAGACTATCTCTTGGTCTTTAGAATATCCCGCTGCACAAGATAGATAATCAATCTTGACTTTCCCTAGCACAGAATAGTTTGTTCTTGTTCAATCTCAGTACAAACCATACTTTATACTCTTCACTTTGGTTTCTTTACTGTACTATCATGAAATGAAAAATTTGTTTAAAGATACAAAGACAAATACTTACACTTATTTTGGAGAATGCAGAATTAATCTCAGGCTGGAATTTCACTAGAATTTCTTTCGGAAATAATTTTATGAAAAATACCCATAATTAGGAAGTTAAAAATTTTCACGTTTGCTTTTACCTGTGACTTGCCCACCCAAATCTTCTGCCAAAAGGATGTATTTAATCACACAAGAAAAAATATTTACTTAAGAGCCCTTTTATAAATTTTGGCTTAACCATGAAAGCATTTTACATTCTAAGCAGATACTGGAGAAAAATCTGCACACCGATCATCTGTGATTTTACCGAATTCCAAGTAGGCAAGTGATTGTTTAATGAGCTAGTCTTCTTCCCTGCATTTCTGTGCAAAGTTGCAGCTGAGTTCTCTGTCCCAATCACTTCTTTCAAGGACGATACACAATCCCAAATGTTACGTCTTAAGTGTAGCAGATGGAATCTTGAAAACACCTACAAGTAGCCTGGAATACTTGAATCTGGCTGTGAAAATTTAGAGCAAGTCTGTAGCTCTCAGTAGGTGCCTGCCTTATTTGGTCTAGAGGCATTTTGCTATGTTATTGAGTCATGAAAAGCTATTAAAAGAGCTCTATGGGAAATTCAGCCTATATCTTGAACAAAACAAACTGTCTTTCCCATCATAGCTGACCACTTACAGACACACGGTACGTATCTTGATTGTGCTTCATTGGTATTTTATTGCACATGGACCAATTCCTCACACAGTAGTTAGTTGCACCAGAGTATAAATACTTGGTAAAACACTCAAGGAAATAGAATTTATACACAAGTGCTAAATTTGACCGGATTCACATGGGCACTTGGACATACAAAAATAATAAAAAAAAATTCTGAAGATAATTATATGTGTAATATGGATACAATTACAGTACCATGATAAAAGAGTATAAAAGGTATGTTTCCAATAAATCATTAGCTCGATAACATAGACAGCAGAAATAGAGTCTGAATTTTATTTTCGTTTTTTAAGATTCCCCCCCCCATTAAAAATATGTAATTTCTTTTTGTGTAAGTAATCTTTTGTGGACTTTACAATTCCTAACACTGTGCAAAAATGGCATTTTGACCCACTCTTTTTTTTCTATTTTTATTGTTTGTTTTGACCCATGTGTGCAGTAATCTGAACTGTTTCCTCTTTTTTTTTTTTTTTCTTCCTTTTCTGTCCTGTCTTCAATGGACAGTCACAAGGTACAGAGGCTCAGCGCCTGGTCCTTCCAGCTAATATTGATACACAAATATGCTGTTTAATATAAACAAGTCTTTCTATCTTGCTGTGCAATGTGCACAAAGTGAGGTAGAAACCCCCTCGGCCTGACCACGGAGGTGCAGGGACAGCAGGTTCGCCCTAGGAAAAGAAAGCAAGGTGAGGCGTGTGCCGAGAATAGCTTAAATTTCCCCAAATGTGATTTGATTCTGCATTCATCCTTGTGTTTACAGAACAGGAGAACTCCTTACTCGGGACTTACACTGAAATCTCTCTGAAAAGCAAAAGAAAACGTTCTGACAAACTGTCACCCCCTGTCCCCTTCTCTCTCCAAGACTGCATCCCGGGAACAGGATGGAAGCCAAGCGCATAGACTTGTACCCGCTACTGCTTCTCCTCTTCCCTTCCCCCTCCCTGGTCCCTGCAGAAAGGGTCAAAAACCACCTGAAAAAAAAAAAAAATCTAAAGATGCATAACACGAACACATAAGAGAAGGCCGAACCACAAACAGCACAAAGAACCCAAGCAAAACCCGCAAGCCACGCTCCCATCCCTTCCCAAACTTTCCTTTCTGTGCAACGGCCGTGGCTTCTGTCTCGGGTGCCTCACGCGCGGCGGGTTTGCGGGTTTGCAGTTCACCTGCTCTGGTCTTGCGTAAACACGGCTCTCCTTCCCCTGGACGCCGCTCCGGGGCGCGCGGGCTCGCCTCCTCCCAGGGCGCAGCGTCCGCGTCCGGGCCAGGGAGGTGGCCAGGTGTGTGCACAGGTGGGGAGCCGGCGCCCGGCCCTACACCTTGGATTCGGAGGAGCGTCCGGGCCGGCGGGGCTCGTCCAGGCTGGAGTCGCTATCCGCCGCCGCCCCGCCGTTGCAGCCCGCCCAGGGCTCCAGGAGGCGCGCGGGGGGCGCGGCCCCGACGTCGTCGTCCTCGTCGTCCGAAGCGGCTCCGGGCGAGGGCGGCGGCCCGTTCCCGGCCAGGCAGCCCGCGGCGCGCGCCCGGGGCCCGGTGGCCGCGTGGCCCCTGCAGGCCGCCCGGCGCGCGCAGCAGAGCAGGCGCTGGAAGGCCCTGCGGAAGTCGGGGCTGCGGCAGTAGATGATGGGGTTGAAGGCCGAGTTGGCGTAGCCCAGCCAGTTGAAGAAGACGAAGAGCTGGTCGGGCACCAGGTCCCGGTGGAAGGCCTTCACCACGTTGGCCAGGAAGAAGGGCAGCCAGCACAGCGTGAACACGCCCATGATGATGCCCAGCGTCTTGAGCGCCTTCTGCTCCCGCAGGGCCACCAGGCGCGAGGGCCGCCGCTTGCTGGTGCGCCCGTTGGCCAGCGGCGCGGCGGCGGGGCGCGGGGACCCCGGCGAGGGCGCGGGCGAGGGCGGCCGCGCGGGGCCCCCCAGAAAGCGGCGCTCGCAGCTGTCGATCTTCTTCACCTGCTTCTGCGCCTCGCGGAACACCCGCAGGTACACGAAGGCCATGATGCACAGGGGCACGTAGAAGGACACGACCGACGAGGCGATGGCGTAGGCCCGGTTGGTGACGAAATCGCAGCACTTGGGGTCCTCGTAGCAGCGGTTCGCCTCGTCGCTCTCGGCCCGCCACCAGTGCATGAGGATGGGCAGGAAGGACACCAGCGCCGAGATGGCCCACACGGTGCACACGAGAGCCCGCGCGCGCGCGCGCGTCAGCAGGCTCTGGTATCGGAAGGGCGACGTGATGGCGAGGTAGCGGTCCAGGGCGATGACACACAGGGTCTCGATGCTGGCCGTGACGCACAGCACGTCCACCGAGGTCCAGAGCTCGCAGAAGAAGGAGCCGTACTCCCAGCCGCCCCACACCACGATGGTGGCCCCGAAGGGCACCACCAGCAGCCCCATGACCAGGTCCGCGCTGGCCAGGGACATGATGAACAGGTTGGTGAGCGTCTGCAGCCGCGGCGTCTTGGCGATGGCCACGATCACCAGCACGTTGCCCGCCACGATGAGCAGCACGATGAGCGCCATCAGCAGGCCCATGCCGGCCGTCCACTGCTGCGACAGCGGCGCGGCGGCCTCCCCGGCCGGGGTCAGCAGCGAGGCGGCCGGCGACGCCGGCACCAGCAGCCGCGCCGCGGTGGCCGCGCCGTCGGGGAGCGGCGCGGCGGACGACAGGTTGCCCGGCTCGGAGGCGCCCAGGGCGAGCGCCCCCGCGCCCATGCCGAGCTGCGGAGGCCGCGGGCGGGGGGTGTGGCGGGGCTGGGCCGTGGCGGGGGGACACCCCAGGGGCCGGGGCGGCGGGGCTCGCGGGCGGAGGGCGCGGCCGGGTCAGGGCAGCCGCGGCGCGGGGCCGGAGGCATGGGCGCCGCGCGCCTTCCCCGCCGGAGCCGAGCGCTGTCGCCGCCGCCGACGCCGCTGCTGGAGCCGCTGCCGCTGCTGGAAAAGCCGCCGGGACCTCAGCATGTTTCTGAGCGCGCCGAGCCCGCGGCCCCGGCACCCGGCACCCACCCCACCCCGCTCCCACTTCCCCGAGCCAACCTCCGGGGCCTCGCGTCAGGCTGCTGCGGCCAATCCGGGCAAAGGCACGCCCCTATCTGGTACCCCCCCCAATTCCCCGCACCCCCTCCCCCGCCCCGGCAGTTCGGCGGCTCTGGGGAGTCCGGAGCAGATCGCCCTGGAGCGCCTCCCTGGCGCCCGCGGGGTGCTGCGCGCGCCCTTCGCGAGCCGGCTCGCTCCTGCGCGCGGTTCGCCTTGCGCTCCCGCCGCGCTAGGTGGCCACCCGCTGCCGAGGCCCCGCGGCGGTCCCCACTCTCTCCTGCGCCCCCCTCGCGGCTCGCCCCCCCCCGCGGCCCCTCCCCACCCTACCTTCGGCGTCCAGGTCCCTCCCAGAGCCGAGCGCCCGCTCCCTGGAGCGCGGAGGGGGTCTCCGTGGTCTCCAAGCCCCTGAGCCAGCCTGTCCGCGGGGCTTGGAGGGGTTTGGCTGCGCGGTGGTTCCTGCGCTCGGGCAGCCGGGCGCAGCGTGTGTAAAATCCTTCCCCCGTCGAGAGGGGACCCAGCCAGTCTGCGTCTGGCCAGCTTGGGATCGGAGGCGGGTGTTAGTGGTTAGAGGAAACTTTCCAGCAGAACGCCTTGCTAGAGCAAAGCGTGCAGCTGTCAGGACTCTCTCTGGGCGCAGTTCTTGCGAGGAGCTTCTGCTGTTCCAGCGCGGTAGATGCAGAGGGGAAGCCGAGGTCTGTGCCTGCACAGCTCCTGCCCAGGACCAGTTGGGAAAACACACACTCCCCAGTGCAGCTCATGAATGTGTGAGTATGATGCAACAGTGTGTGTCGTTACTATCAAGAGGCTTGAGGAAACACAGCGTTCTCACAGAGTAAATGACCCCGCCGCGAAGAAAGCCCACACTTAATTCCATTTAGACTTTTCACGTTCAGAAATGACACCTGTATTTTGTGTTTTATTGCTCATGTGATTTTCTAATTTAAGCCGGGCCATACAGGCAAACACGAAAGTGCTGTTGGCTTGGGTTGATGTAATGACGTAATTCCAGCTATCTCGGTCTGCAGGAGGGTTTTCTCCTTTGCCCAAGTTCCCAGATTCTCAAAACTCTAGGATTAGATTTGGAAAGATGAAAATACGCAAATACTCAAGAGGATTAAAATCTGATGGTATTTAAATTTATATCAGGGGTTTTGAGTTGGCAAATGAATAGGTTTGATAAGTGAGGCCTGAACCCAGCTGTGGATGGGTGATATGAGGGAGCTGGGTATATGGGGGGGGGGGGCGGAGAGGGTCCCTCCACCGGGTAGCCACCAGGAACACACCATGAGGCAGGCTTTTCAGCCTTGAAAATAAAAAGCGTTTATGGAATCTTTGAGGAGTAAACAGCTTCTAATGACCCATGTAAGGGTACATAAATATGTTATATAATGCTCACAGGTTTCTAGCATTGAAAGGAAAAGAATAACTCCTGGAAGGAACATCAATATCTGGAACGAACTCCTTCTTACCTGCCAGACTGACTTCCACAGCTGTCCAGCCAAGAGCTACAGGCAGTGCTCACTCAGGTTATAAAGCCAGGGAATGTTAACCGCTTTCTCTTACTCAAACGCAAACATTTAAATTTGCTTTAGGCCTAAACTTGATCATCAGTGTTACAAGGAGCTTGGGGGTGGGTGCTTGATTGCTTTATGCACCTTTGCTCTAACACTTGGTGCTACGGGCTTGGAGAGGTTAAAGAGAGGAGTCAAGGAAAGACAAGTGGCTGGGGAGACGGGAGGAAGGAGCTGTGCCCTGCCTGAGTTCAGTGTAACCTCCAAGTCTTTGCAAATGGGTTTCCTCTTCCCACAGCCTTCTTTCCCTCTGCTCTGGCTTCTCCAGGAACACTCTCTAAATAGCCAAGGGATTGAATCTGATGTTGCCCAGGAAAGGGGTTCTGCGTGAGGCTTAGGGAATGTGGGGAACAGGCTTTCTATCAGACGCCATCTTGCTGTCAAGTGGTGTTACAGGAATAGTGTGTGCCAACCTTAAGTGCCCCTGAAGGGCCAAGGGATTGCATTTCTGACAGTGATAAGGCCAGAACTGGGTTGTAGGCCTCAGTGCAGAAGCTTGGATGCCGGGAGTATGGATATATGTATGTATTTGTGTACCTCATGTATACATATAGGCATTTGGTCCCGTACGTGTGTATATAAACATACTATGCATCTGAGCATGACATTTGGGTTGTCCCAGAACTGTTCTGCTCATTCAGAGATATATCAAGCTTCTCTGATTTTCTGGATAATACAATCATTAAATCATAAATCATCCAAATCAGGTCATTTTCATAGGCGTCCTAATACAGCAGGCATAAAAGGACCCCAGAGATTCTAGGGACTTCCCTTCACTTGTACTGATGGAAAAGTTTTTAACTAGAGTTAGCTTTGCTTTTGGAAAACCGTTCTCAGATCTTCTGTAATTCTTATATTTCATGGCACTTTTGTTTTTGAGCTAACACTTTCTGTCCTTAGATAAGGATATAGGATCAAGAAGAAAAAATTCAACAGAGCCACTCATACAAATTCAAAACAAGTAATTTTTTCATTTCCAGTTTCCCATGTGTAACTGTTGAAGTGAACCAGTTCTTAGGAACCTGCAAATCTGACAATACTTTAGAATATAACAGACTCGCAGATGATGTGAATCAGCACAGTGACAGGGAGTGGCTTCTTGCCCAGTGTTTGTACCCGTCCTCCATCTTTCCCACTCCACAGCAGTGACCACTGCTCTCCCGGATTTGACATGGTTCTCGCTGATCTCCTGGCCTCTATTTTATCTGGCATAGCATAGCCAAATCCATATTTCTAAAATGCCGCTTTGACCAAGATGCTTTTCTGTTCAAAAAACGTAACTCCTCAACTTGGCATTCAAAGCCCACCACAGTCGACTTTCAAATAGCCTTGCCAGCACTGTCTGGCGCTGGGGCTCCCCATGTCACCCTAGCTTGCAGTTTTGCTTTGTTTTTCCTTTTTTTGGATCTTTACTTTCCCCCATTTTTTGGTGTCTGTTCTTTCTCAGTGGGTTCATTCCACCAAGAATCTCTTTCTCTGTCTCTGTCTCGGTGGATTCAGTCTTCAAGATCTAGATGGTATATTATATATACAATATATATTATATATATATGCATATACATGAAATGCATATCAGCAGACTAGTATAGGTAGAGAGAGGAGACATAGTTCTAGCAGCATTGGGCTATATATATAATATAGTCATCTCTGCCCTATGCTGCTAGAACTACGTCTCCTCTTTCTACCTACACTAGTCTGCTGATTTCATGTGACAATTAACAATATATGGCCCTGTGACAGCTCCCATATTGTCATTTAATTTTTATGTTGTTTTCTTTTGTCACATAAATTGTTAGCTCACTGAGAACCAGGACTCTACATTTTTATATCTCCCATATTTACTAACATCTATTTAATATTAATTAACGTTAGACTTTGTTCATAAAAATTTAATGCTTAATTCAGTAAGTCTCTTTTTAAAAGTATGAGAAATAATTGTTTTAAAGTTATAATCTTTACTCATGGTGATAATTTACAGTAATAATTCATATTCCTGTAGCCTAGCCAATATTTTCAAAATACCTTTACAAGATAGGTTCATTACAAATAAATTTATTTCACACTTATTCCATAGTGAACAAGTAGGACAGAGGTAAGAGTCCTTCCAGAGGGGCAATGCAAGTTCTCGTTAGTGAAAAGTGCTACCTAATCTTAGTCTTTATTTTAAATACTGTATGTCCAGGCATTGCTGCCTTGGGAGAGCCTTTAATCTGGTTTCAGTGCTAGAGCAAAGTCGTGGCCTACACAGCAGTAATTAATGAGCATCTTAATAGACATCCAACCCACCTATGGGTGAAAGCCATGTAGAACTTCTCTTTCTCCTTGTTATCATCATCATCATCATCATTATTGAGTTGACTTTGCTACAAAATGAGTAGCAAAAATAACAGTGAGTAGATTAAGTAGACAACAGCTAGAAGACAAAGGAAAGGCCTAACAAGTGTATGAATCAGGAAATTAGCAAAATTTGCCTTGAGACTTGTGAATCAGAGTTCAAGTGGCTGTTTCAGAGTAAAGAAGTACAGCTTTTCAACAAAGCAATATTCCTGCTAAAGTGTTCCTTGCTAACTAACCAGAGAACAGCCTGTGTGTGCCAGTGGCTAGCACTTAAGGTCACATAGTGGTTTTTCAGCCACAATGACACAGAAACAAGCAGCTCTCTAGACCGTGATAAGAATGCGCGCAGAGGACAGTGGTGTAATCAGAGCAAAGCACGGACTATTTGGAAAATTAAAAAGCGACGTCAAAATTAAAAAGCGACGCCCTCTCCCACTTCCTCCCTCTGCCTCCTCCTCCTCTTCCTGGTGTGTCTGTGAGTACATTGAACAAAACGGGAGCCAATAATAATATTTTTCAAAATTCGGAGTTATTGGAAAGGGTTCAGGCCTGGAGATTTGTGTTGTGACTTTGTCACTTTTCAGTATGACCTTCAGCAGTGGCTTCATCTTTAAAATCAACTCACCATTTGCTTTCTCCTGGGTTGGGCAATGATTAGATGAGATGGTGTAGGCACCAGGTATTTGCACGATCTCTTCTCCAGCCATGACATGTCACATGGCAAAAGATGTCAGAATTTGCTTGCGTGAGAATCAATAAACTTAAATTAGAGACTTTATCAGTTTGACTCCTTTCTCACCCTAAATATTAATGTGACTTAGAGGCTGGATAACAGTGAACTGTTTTAAAA